ATTTTATACTGTGATTTGAATTTGAGGTCATACCGCCCAGCCCTAGAAGAAACATTAAAAATATTCATCAAAAGAGTATGCAACTTTTGTTTTAAATTAAAATTAAAGAACATTTATGTCTTATTTATCTYTCTCTTAAATAACTATCTAGTCTTAACCAATTTCAGATATCTGGAATTTAAGTGTGGTGAAACAGATTATGTGTAAAACAGCCTGCCACACGTGTTTCTGCATGCTGCTGAAAATCCTTCCAGAGCAGAAGCTGATAGTTAAATTTGTAAGATGGTGGGGGAGAGTCGGCTCTATTAGGGGGGCAGGCGGCCCTCCCTGACAATGGTAGAGGAAACTGGACATGWAGCTGCTATTTTATAGTTAGTAATTTAATTTGTACAGCTCTAAATCCTGAGGCCAGTAATAGTGAGAGGGTGAAACATTTACAAACTGTCCAGGAGGCTTTTAAATGTTGCATATCTTCTATGTTAAATAGCTGCACTTTAGAGGAAATTGACAAATCTATTTATCTTGTTATTTGGGGGGAAAAAAACTAAATCTTGCTGGTATTTCATGTAAAACAGCAATTGTTGAATTTTGGCAGCGATGTTACAAACACTTCAAGATTTCTCATCAAGAACTTAATCATGAAATCATCATTTCTGTTTTCAGGCACACTTCAGCTCACAGAGAGCCCTGTACACTTTTTCATTTGCCCGTGCACCAATATTTGCACATCTCTGCTTCTTTTTTCCTCACTCTCTGCCAGGGTTGCCATGGAGGGAGGTTTTCTTTGCTGCCATGACAACCCGAGTTCTCTTTGGTCTCCTCTGATGATAGAAAGACCGAACAGCCAGCACCCGGGTGATGTACCACGTACTGAAGACAGCCGGCTTACGCTTTAAACAACAGGCTTTAAAAAAATGCTAATAAAAAATACAGGTAGTTTCCTTATTTTGTGGATGGATGGATGGATGGATGGATGGATGGATGGATGGATGGATGGATGGATGGATATTTAACCTTGAGTCTCTCAGACACTCCGTCAGTAAAGCTGATGGTGAACTCCTCCACTTTAGGAACCTTCAGACGCTTCTTCTCTGTCTGGTACTCTGTGCGAGTTTTCACCACCACCTTAAAGAAAAAACAAAGAAGATAAAAAATGTAAACAACTCCTGTATTACAGCCAAATTAAATTACATCAACAGTACAACCATCAGTCTTTTATATGTTCCACTTATGCAGAAATGTCCTATATAATTATAAGAAGAGAAAACTAATGCAAATATAGCTCAGTTCCAATAGTTGTGAACCAATATTAAAAAACGTAAAAGGACATTTTATTGCATAAATAAAATTTGGCTACAGTTATAACCCAGCCCCCTAGAACCTACTCCACAGTAAATATTTATATTGGCACAGTTCTGTCCCAGTACTGTCGAGTAACCTTTAGCTGCGGACCGTGGAATGGGGCGGGGTCGGACATCTGACTCCGCCCTCAAACCATTTTGATTGGACTGTCCATTTCCTTTCTTCTACATGCAGCATTTAATAGCATTTACAGCTAGTACTCGGGAGTATTACAAGGTATAGATCTAAATGAGTGAAAGTAATATAAACTTGTATAAAATAGACGTGTTGTGTTTCCGGTTTTTACACCTTCCTATGGAAAATATTTATTTAAGCTTCCCCATACAACCACGTAATCAAACTGTTAAATCGATATCCTGTGCTAACACTTCCTTTTTCGGTAACCGGGCATTTCAAAATAAGAGTCTCATACATAACATTACGGACTTTCGCTTTACCAGAACCTAAAATATTTTCCTAGTGTTATGATCAAATGTTGCTCTTGTTATTAATGCCACATGGAGTTTGAGTTCAAGTAATAATGAAGTAATGATGTGCTGCTAGCTGACTTTCAGTTCTTAATGTTAAGTTTCATTTATATATTTCTAGTCCTTTGAAAATGTTGCCATGATATTCTGACTAATTTCGTTTTTCTCCATAGACACAATTATTTACAATGGAACTACCCCTGACCAGAACATTGAAGACAGCTGGGAAGATTACATTCATATTTCAAACTGAAACATTTATGTCAGAATGTGTTGAGAAACAAGACTTGAAAATTTGTCTGAGCTTTAAGGTTAACTGAAAAAGTTGTATTGTAAGAAAATAAAATGTCTACGAAGCCCACCAGTGTTATTTTTTAAACATTATTTCACTCAT